ATATATATATCACTGTGGTATGAAGCATAAATAATTTTAAAGAATTTTGTAAACCAAATGTGCCAATGAACCAAAAAATTAAATAGGATAAGAAAAATTTATTGAAGTTGAAACATAGTAATTGTACTGATAAAAATGTATTGATTAATGTATATTCCATTAAAATATATCCCCAAAAGAAGAAAAAAACAATTTGATGAATGTAAAAAAAATCAATAGTGCTTTGCATTTTTCTGGCATATGATTAACTATGCTATCTGTATTAGTCACTTTCTCACTGCTAGAGAAAATACCCTACACCCACAGCTTAAAAGAGAAGGAGACGAGGTTTATTTGGTGCACAGTTTCTAGTAAGTTCAGTCCAAAGCTGGCTGAAACAGCACGGTGAATAGGCCTGGCTCACTTCATGGCAGCAAGAAGAGAATAGGGAGGAACCAGGGACAATAATATATTCTTTCCAATCATGTCCTCTATGATCCACCTCTTCTGACCAGGCTTTATCTCTTAACAGCACATTCATTCATGAACTTATAAATGGATTAATCCACTGATGAATAGAGTGTCCCATGATTCAATCGCCTTCCAAAAGTCCACCTCTGAACACAGGAGACTTCGGGGACATTCTAGATCGAAACCAGAACACTGTATGATTACTATCAAAACTAAACATGAATCTAATAGTCAATATACTATTTTAGTTTAACAATATGCCCTATAAAATATACATATACTGTCTATATAAAATATAGACATATATATCAGAAGTTAGCTTTGCCAGCTTTCCCAGACTTGTGTTAATATACACATGCTCTGCATAACTGCAGCTTTGTATAAACTGTTAACACAGAGAATGACATAAAAGTATGTATTTTTCCATTTTGCTGTAATTTCTCAATAAAAAATGCAAGTTAACACACAATATCCATTACACTTGTATATTTTTTTACTCAAAGCATTAGAGAAGCAAGTGATTTTTAAACTCATAATTCAATTTACATCCTGCAAAAAGCATTTCTAGGGGAACTTTGCTTGCATTTATACTAGAAAAATGTTCTGAAAAATTATCTTTACAACTGTTATACATAAAACTATTTTCTGACAACAAGCTATCTAAAAATTGAGGCAGAATGCTTTCAAACATATATCATCTTCCTATACCATAGATCTAAAAATAGTAAAAAAAATCTGTAGTAATAACAAGTTAAACAATATAAAATTTTAAAATTTTTTTCCAGAAAACCCTCACTTATTAGTATTTACTGGGTACTGCTTTGAATTTGAGAAAGGGCTTTGACATCTTGTAAACTTGGGTTCAAATGACAGCTTCACAGAATGTTTTTTCTGTAACATTTTGGAAAAGCTACTTAATGTTTCTGAATTTGTTTCTTAGTTAAAACATGAGAAGAATCACAATCATCTTCCTACTATAAACTGAATATTTGTGTCCTCCGAAAATTCCTATGTTGAAATCTAACCCCAATACGATAGTATCTGGAGGTGAGTCTCAGGGAATGATGAAGTCATTAGAGCCCTCATAAATGGAATTCATACCCTTACAAGAAAGAACTCATACAGAACTTCCCAGCTCTGTCTACCATTGTAAGAACTCAGAGAAGATGGAAATCTGTGAATCAGGATATGCCCTCTCACCAGATATCAAATCTGTAAGCACTTTGCTCCTGAACTGTGAAAAATCAATTTCTTGTGTTTATAAAGAATAGCCAACCTAACAGTATTTTATAAAAGCCCTAATGGACTAAGATACCTCTTCACACTTAAATCTACAAAGGATCTAGCACACTTCTTTAAGGCACAAAGGAAATATTGATAGTAGTTGTATGCATTATCATTACCATAATTATCACTACTTTGACTTAATGAAAATAACTATAATCTTTTAAAGTTATTAAATTAATTTAACAAAGAGGTGTCTGGCACACAAATATTACTTTCTTTTGGTACTGGGGATCAAACTCTGGACCTTGCCTTTGCGAGGCAGGCAGCAGTACCAACTGAGCTAAATCCCTGGCCCATGTGAGTATTTACTGAAACAAAGCATGAATGTGTTTTTGCGATTCTCAGAACCTTGGAATAGCACAGCTCAGCAGATATATTCAGACAAAAATGGTTAGCTTCCTACT